ATAAAATATTTATTTTCGAAATGTCAACTAGCAAAATATATCTTTTTAGAAATTAATTACCAAAACAGATGCATTATTTCACTTGTTGACATTTAATCGAAATCGGAAAATTAAAACACTATGTTGAAATGACAAAAAATTGTGTTAGAAAAAAGAATATCATTTTTTATTATTTATAACGTGAAAAAAAGATCAACAAATAAAAATCTTGATTTTTAAAGTCTTTAACAATCATCTTATTATATTAACAACAAAAATACATTACAGAAATCTAACTTTTCTTTTACATGTAAACAATTACAAGTATCAGATAAAGATAGTCATGATGAAATTTCTTGAGTAAATAAATTGAATTGAAAAAAAAAATGAATTTATCAAAATTCATGTATATGGAAAAGATGCATTAAGTTCTTTGGTAATTCAATAATGAATTAAATGTTGTAGACGAATGTTAATCTGAAACAAATAAATCGTGTGAACATTATGCTGATTGAAGTATTTTTGCAATTGTAAAATTAGGCGACAGATAATAGAATGTGAATGTAGGAAAGAATAAAAGCTCAAATTTAAAGAGAAGAAAACACGAAAGTTTTGTGTATTCAGATTTAATTCAAAATTATGTCCTAGAACTATTCAAGAAACATTCGTTATACTTTCTTTTTTACATGGATAGATTTATGAGTTTACTGTAATCTATAAATTAAGAATTTTCTTTTAGTAAAGAGTTTTCAACTGCTTCATAAAAATAATGATCATTTTATCTATGAAAAAACGATAGAGAAAAAACATATCAATATCTCGCTATATTTAAAAAAAACTTGAAACCGCATTTTAGGACGTTTTTTCATTCCTTGAATTTGTTTTGCATTATTGCGAAGTAACTCATAGAAATCTAGAAAATAATTAATAATCTATTCAAGGACCAGAAACACTAGATATGAGTATAAATACGAATGTTAAGTGAACTCATTTCATTAAGCATGAAGCCTTACACAACAGCAAAGAGTAGTAGATTTCCAAATTTCGTATAACCGATGTAGATCTTTTTTTGTACTTTCAGTCGGCTGTGATTTTGAGTACTCGACAATGAACATAAGTGTGATCGTTTCGTAACATTTCGATGAGTTGTGACTAATTATTGTTCGATCAACTGCTGATTTCTCGTTTTTATGGTGTATTCTCACTTGTGAATGAAATGTTCAGAAACAAGAACTTTGACACCCCTACTTTTTGTTTTTGAAAGTTGTCATCAAGCGATGTTGAATGCCCGAAATCTTTTTTTAAACCTTAGTGAATATCACAAAAGGAGTTAATTGTCTCATTCATACTATCTTAAGTAAAAGTGTGACATTACACATCGAGTTCACTTAAAGTTATCCGAGGTCATTCGTCATGAGAAGCACAATCATCTTGCGAGTTGAATGGACTTATATTGTTAGTACTCGGTGATGAATGAGTAGTATTATTGACCAGAATTCTGGACAAATCATCTATTCCTTGTGCCCTATCAAGTTCATATGGCTGTTGGGGGCATTGTTCCATTGATTGATTACCATAATTTATGACTGTAAATTTGCACGTGTACTAAAAAGAAACAATAATACTTAGAATTTCTCGAATTTTGTGTGCATGATGTAAAAGATATTACTCTGAATATCCCGTTATAGATTGATCGAAATTCTCTTTTAATGAAATGTTTACGATCGATAATTACATGTATAAATTTTGATTGTCTTATCTGATATCAGATTCTTTGATTCTTTTTCTTTTGTGGTATACTTGTCTGCTTTTTTTTCTGCCGTGTATCATCTTGTATGTAACACTTAAATTGTTAAGTGCTGTTTCTTTTGTTCGAATGAATGTAGGATTTTATTTTGTTCTTTCATTTTGTATCATCGGAAAATAATCCCTTAGTTTTTATTAATTTAAATGGATTATTTTTAATGGATAGGCGAGAGATATAATTAAAACTACTTACTAGATGTTCTTCGGATAATTTAGTATCAATTTAAAAAAAATTCGAACTCTCTTCTCAAGTGACTTTGATACAGAAATCTCTCAGCTTCCGAATGATGTTTTTTGATAAGAAAAATGTTTTTCAAGCTTTTTCTTTATTTATCCTATGAAATAACTAGTATTCTCGAACTACAGCATACCATTTAGAAGCTAGTGCACTATTTTATGGAACCTACATCTCAAATATGAGTTTGATCTTGATGTTAAATTTTTTATTCAATCTTTAGATCAACCTGACAAAAGAAAACAATAGAAAACTATACTCATTTCCTTCTCCTTGTAATAGACTACTGTAAGTTGTGAAAGTACGAAGAAAACAACTGTTAAAAATAAACTAATGAGAATAGCTTATGCATATTTATATTCATTGACATTTATCTTGCCTCATTATGGGCAAAAGTCAAATTATTTTCACGGATTTTTCCATTTTATCATGCTTGAAAAATTGTGCCACTAAATGGGATTTTAATCCTACGTGAAAGAATGAGATATCGTCATTACATAGTATGGACACATTTATTTGTGTTCTAAATATAGAACCGAGTCATTTCATAAGGATTTCTAAAACAAATATGAAATGATTTGTTTTTATATAATACGTATTGAATCAACATAAAAAACTTCAGAGTAATTAATAATCAACTAGAATTTTCAGGGATATAATTGAAAACCAGTTAGTCTAGATGTAATTCTTTGCATAGCATTTACTGTTGCCTTAAAAAGACTCCTGTGAGTCATACAAATCAATAACTTTTTTAAAGGTTTATCTAAATCGATTTCTATTTCTTTTTACAGATTCCAAGTTAGATGAAGTCGATTTTGTTACTGAGAAGTAACATAATCATCAATTGTATAGTTTACGGATAAAAAGCTATATGACTTTGGTAGCTCAGATAAAACGTCATTTAATCGGAAAACAAGATATTGACATACATAAATTTAGGCATTTATAATATATTTTTTTCTCAACATATTGCGATAAAATACAACGTTTTCGAATCGATATAGTTTTGTTATATAATGAATGATGAGTGACTTAAAATAATACTTAATACCCATTTCAAAAAAGAAAAAGTGTGACTATTTTTTGAATAACTTTTGATCGAAACTAGGTAGCGAGGTGCGTTTTTCATCGTTTAAAAGAGGAGATGAAACTGCGTCAAACTGTCTATACCAGATTTTCTTGAACAAGTTTTCTCAGGGTCTACCATCATGTTTGTTAAACACAAAAGATTATCTAACGTAATAGTTTTACGATCTCAATTTTCAGGAGTGCACTAGCATCGTTAACTGAAAATCTATAAAATCTGTAAGTCTCATGTTATAAGTTTTAGCCGATCAGAAGTTATGCACATTTTACTGCATTTGATCGACAGATTTTTCATGAAAAATTGACCTTTTTTTCTCATTTTTCACCAAACAAATCCATCCTATAAACTTATTCAAAAGCCTAGATTTTTTGAAAAAATTGGTGAGAGACTCTGAGAAAACTTTTCAGAAAAATCTAATGTACACTATTTGATGCAATCTCATCTCCTCTTTTAAACGGTGAAAACCGCATTTCTCTACCTAGCTTCTATCAAAACTTATTCAAAAAATACTCACACTTTTTGTTTTTTGAAATGGGTATTAGTATTGGTTGTTTCAAAAAATTCATCATGACAGCAGTAAATTTTATGGTTTTTGGTATAGATGTAAATCTTTTAAAATATAATTAACGTGTTTTGGAATTGACTCTCTGATTAGTGGCAACAGTTTTATAACTGAATTTCGTATATTTTTGAAACGCCTATGAATTTTAACTTAACGTTGCCCATTCTTGAGAATCTTATAAGCCATCATTATCTTTTCTTTGTGGTCTTATATTTCAGAATACTCTTTGATCTAAAAACTCTTCAGCGAATGATGTCAAATGTATCGTAATTCAACAAAATCATTTAAAACAACAGTGCTATTTAATAAATAGATTCATGACCTAAAGTCTGTGTTGACTGTATTCCATTCAGCAAAGTATACTCTACGTTTGAAGGTGAAAAACAAGTGTCTTCTTCACCTGTAATGTAGAGTCGCGTCGTTTCTAGAAGAAGCTCAAAGGCTTTTGGAGGAAGTTCGACTACCATCTGGCTACGTCACTCAAATATATGCGTTGATACGGATCGATGTAAGATCAGAGCGACCTCTTAAGAACAATGCGTGTACAAATATGTTATTTCCGCAAAAACACATTATTGGTTTGTTTTCGAGCGACATACTTTGCAACAATAATGAAAGGACTTTGTGATTTGAAATGATTTAATAATCAAAGTTCTTGTTCTATTAATGTGAATAAAAAAAACATGATTCGTATTCCTCGTCGAATATTATTATTGCATACATTAATTATACGAAATCAGAATAGATTTGTGAACAATGTATCGAACCTACATAACAGTAGGTGAAATGATTTTTTTATTCATCGTTTTTTTTTCATTTCACATAATATTAAAAAAATCTTCTTGAAAATTTAATGGATATCAAGAAAAAATTATTAGATTGGATATGAGCAAAATTTAAAAAAGTTCTTTTGCTCTTTTATATTTGACAAAATACGAGATAAATATGTTCGTATTGTATGTTGCATACGAAATGGTCGTCATTCAAACAACATTAAAATCCATCACTTACACTGAATATGCAAAGCTAATATAATCTAAAGATAACATATCATTGACGGTAAGCTAAACACTAAAATTCGAATGATGATTTTCAAAAATTTTCCAATGACAATATGCAATTTCTTTAATCGTTTTTGCACAAATATAATATGCATGACAAGATAACAAAGTTTTATCGACACTTTATTTTAGTCTGCAATGAAATAATCTATATTCCATAATATTGAAGTTTATATTAAAAAAATAAATAAATCTAAAAGCTAATTTCTTAAATAGCTTTATTAATAAAATAAATATTTTTTTGTTATAGGCGATCGTTCGACTATTTTTATGTCATCAAAAGATCCAAAAGAATCTAAAAATGAAAATCATTCTATTGATGAATCACTTCGTGCTAATGTTCGATTACTTGGTGATAGTCTTGGGCGAACTATAGCACATGATTTAGGTGAAAGTTTTGTTGAAGAAATTGAAACAATACGTCATTATGCAAAACTTCAAGATGATGGTGCACAATTACATCAATATTTACATCAACTTCCAGACAATCATTTATTACCTGTTGCACGTGCTTTCAATCAATTTCTTCAATTAGCTAATATAGCTGAACAACATCATCGAGTTTGTTCAAAACGTATTGATGATGATAGTCGTAGTGCATTTCATCATGTGAAACTTATCGATTTATTTAAACGTATTGAAAAAGAAAATAAAAATGCAAAGCAATTATTTTTTGATACATTTACAAAAATGAATATTGACTTAGTATTAACAGCACATCCAACAGAAACTATACGACGAACATTAATTCAAAAATATAATTTAATTGAAGAATGTTTAGCATTATTAGAAATGTTAGATCCTGAAGCTGAAGAAAAACATATTTCTGAAACAGCTTATCGAACAAGAGAACGTCTTCAAGAATTAATTAGTCAAGCATGGCATACAAATGAATTTCGACATGAACGACCATCACCTATTGATGGTAAGTTTAGTTTTAAACTTTGAATTTCTTTACTAACTAAGTTTCCAGAAATGATATGATGTTGTCAATACACATGAGTATTCAATTGTATTTGCTGAATAATCATATAGAGTCATGCGACCAAATTTTTTTTCTTTGTCTATTAAAAAAACTAAAAGTACTATTTCATATTAATTGTAGAAGCAAAATCAGGCTTTGCTGTTGTTGAAAATTCTCTTTGGGAAGCTGTACCAACATTTTTTCGTGATCTCGATCAATTACTTCTCGATACAGCTGGTCAACGTTTACCATTACATGCTGCACCAATTCGATTTGCATCATGGATGGGTGGTGATCGAGATGTAAGTTTCATTTTTTATACTAAACTTATGAAAACTATGTTTGAATAATTAATCATTGTATTGTGTAGGGTAATCCAAATGTGACGGCAGCAGTAACTACAGAAGTATTATTACTTGCTCGTTGGCAAGCAGCTGAACTTTATATATCTGCTTTAGAAAAACTCAAAACAGAATTATCGATGACAAAAGCATCGTAAGTTTGATTTTATGAAACGAAAGCACAAATACATTTAGTATTTTGATTTTATAGAAATGAATTATTGAATTTAATTGATGATCAAAATGCAAACGAGCCTTATCGTGTACTCTTAAAGCATTTAATACGTCAAGTTCGAATAACACGTGATTGGTTACAAGCTCAATTAGATAATAAACCATTTAATATTCCACAAGATATTGAACTTATTCAATCGACCAAACAACTTCAAGAACCTCTTAAAATTTGTTATCAATCATTATGTGAAAATAAACTTGATCTAATTGCAAATGGTTTATTACTTGATATATTACGTCGTTTAGCATGTTTTGGTGTAACATTAACAAGATTAGATTTACGACAAGAATCTACACGGCATACAGAAGCTCTTGAAGAAATTATATCATATATTCTACCTCATGATAATAAATATTCAGAATGGAATGAAGAAAAAAAACAAAAATTTTTACTTAATGAACTTGTTTCAAAACGACCATTAATATCTCATCGACATAAATGGTCAAAAGATACTCAAGAAGTCTTAGATACATTTGAGATTATTGGTCGAAAGAATAATGAAGAAGCATTAGGTTCTTATATTATATCCATGAGTAAACAACCATCAGATGTATTAGCAGTAGCATTATTTATGAAAGAAATAGCTAATGGAAAGACATTACCGGTGAGAATCTGTTTTTTCTTGAATTGATTAGTTTCTAAAAATGTATATGTTAAAGATTGTTCCATTATTTGAAAGATTGCATGATTTGGATCGTTCCAGTGATATTATTGATGGATTGTTGTCAATGAAAGGTTACCGAGATCTTATTAATAATAAACAAGAAGTGATGATTGGATATTCGGATTCGGCTAAAGATGCAGGGTATGCAAACTGTATTTTTTTTTATTGTACTTTCAAAACGTATCTATCTAATATTGAATTGTTTTTACAATATTAATCGCTGTTTTATTTTTCATTGATTTGTATTATTTAAAAAAAAAATACTTTGTTTTGTTGATTTTAGTCAATTAGCAGCTGTCTGGGCTCAATATCGAGCTCAAGAACGTTTAGTAGAAGTATGTCAAAAGCATGGTGTTGCATTGACATTATTTCATGGTCGAGGTGGTACGGTTGCTAGAGGTGGTGGTCCATCTCATGCAGGTAAGTTGACATTGTTTACTAATAATTCAAAATTACAATTCGAAAAAAAAAGTCAGTTTCAAACATGACCGACTAACTGACTGACTATTAAAATATATTGATCGACAAATATGAATATTTTCTAGCTATTTTATCTCAACCACCTGGATCTGTTAATAACAGTATTCGTGTTACTGAACAAGGTGAAATAATTCGATTTAAATTTGGTTTACCTGGTTTAGCAGTTTTATCCATGGAAATTTATGCTTGTGCTGTTTTAGAAGCTACACTTCTTCCTTTGCCAAAACCAAAAGATAGTTGGCGTAAAGAAATGAATAAATTGGCTGATCGAGCATATCGTACTTATAATTTAATTGTTCGAGAAAATCCAGATTTTGTACCGTATTTTCGAACAATAACACCGTTAAATGCACTTTCAGAACTTCCACTTGGTTCTCGACCAGCAAAACGAAGACAAGACGGTGGTATTGAAACTCTACGAGCTATTCCATGGATTTTTGCATGGACGTAAGTGACGTTTTGTTTGTTTTTGTGTTTTTATTTTTTGAGAATTTGTATTTAATCAAAATACTTCAATGAATATCACAGATGATTTTATTCATTTTCTATATAGAAAAACATAGTTTAAATCAAGTAATGATATGATTGATAAAATCTCATAATCTCCTTTTTGTTATATTCTGTGTAGAAAATTATTTTTAAGCTGAGATTTGTAGAAATATGCTACATTATCTTATTGGTGTATCATGTGAACGAAAACATCTAATATTGAATTCATTGATTATTTCTTTGATGATTTTTTTTAGCAAAAATTATTATTAACTAGACGTGTTTTCTTTTGTCTGTATGATTTTTTGTAGTCAAATACGACTTATGTTACCAGCATGGTTGGGTACTGATGATGCTTTTGAAGAATTTCTTAAAGAAAATCCTAATGGTCTAGATCGTTTACGTGAAATGATAAATTCATGGCCATTTTTTCGAATGTATATGGATATGCTTGAAATGGTTCTTGCTAAATCTGATGTTGATATAACAGCCTATTATGAACATCGACTTATTGAACCAAATACATCTATGCAAAAATTAGGTGAATCTTTACGTGGAAGACTTGATCATTTACGTGAACTTGTTCTTCGTATAACTGATCAAAAAGAAATATTAGAACATGTACCACAACTTGCTCATGCAATTGCTTTACGTAATCCATATATTGAACCATTACATAGATTACAAGCTGAATTAATGCAACGAAATCGAGATAAAAAACCAGAAGATATACCAGCTGATATATCAAGAGCTATGATGACTACTATGGCTGGTATTGCTGCGGGCCTTAGAAATACAGGATAAACTTTATTTTTTAAGTTTTTTTTTCAAAGATTTTATGAAGAATTATAGTAGTGAGATTTGAGGTGTTTTTGTTCATATGAGTTACAAAAATTTCGGCCCAAGGAATTTTCGGCCCAGAATTTTTGACTATCACCCTCACACCCTCACTTCATCCTGAAGATAGTTAGGCTCTGGGCCGAAAAATTCCTCGGGCCGAAATTCCGATCTCCCGTTCATATAATCATATCATATTGCTGGTAATTTTGTGAAAATAAAGAAATTTATTTTTAGATTAAATTTTTGTTTACTTTTTTTTAAAAAGAAACTAATGAATATGATTTGAATTCATATAAATATTAAATCGTAATACTTTCAGTGATTGTCTCATTGAAATTCAAAATAAAATCTAGCGTGAAAAAACACTCGAAATATAAGTCAAAGATTACAACATCATTGTAGCACGATAAATGGACTTTTTATTATTCATTCGAATCAATTCGCTGACAACAAAAAAAAAATAAAAGTGCAAAATCGTAATTTGTTGATACGTTCTGTCCGCTTAGAAATACTGGTTATAAATATATTCTTGTTTCAAATTGATTCTTATGAAAATAATAGCTTTTATTTGAAGAGTATCGACATTGAGTACATGACTCTGACATAAAAGGACAAAGTACGCTTACAAGTGCAACACAAGTGTAACTATATTATGCGTAAATAAGTTTCTTTTTTCTTGATAAAGAACTAACACCTATTCAACACAATAAAATATATATAGTTAACTTCTTGAAAACCCTAAATATATATGCAGACTTTGTACACTAAACTTAGTTATAATATAAAGTGTAAAAAATAAAAACATGTTTCCACATTGAGTAGACAAATACGATTTTTATAGATAACGATAGACAAATACTCGTCATTTAAATTGGCTTATGTCTGACTTGATGTATCACCACCTTCTATTTTTTTTTCTTTTTCTCTCTCGTTCTTTTCTCTTGGCATATTACATAGCTTTGTCATTCGTAATTTTCTTTTACTAGATAATATTCATGATGTCTTCTACTGAAGACAAAAACAATACATCAGTTATTTATCGACCTGTTGAAAAACATGAACAACAACACGCCATCGATCTTTGGTATACAGTATTTAACACTCAACCAGGATTTTTCGAACGCTATTTTAACAAAGAAACATCACCTCATTATCAAGAAGGTGATACATTAGGTGCTTGGATTGATGGACACTTAGTTAGTGTAATACATATTCGACGTCTTTATATTCGATCTCGTGATGATAATATAGAATATTTATGTGGTGCTGTGTCGAATGTTGCAACTTTAGAAGACCATCGAAAACATGGATATTCACGTCATCTTTTACGAATTGCTATTACAAAAATGGAACAAAGTGGAGAATTTGATATATCAGTTTTAGGTACTGGACAACCAAATCATTATTCAGTTTTTGGATGGGAACAAATCTCTTTACCATCTCCAATTAGTATTGAATGGAGTCATTTTAATTCATCTGGAGATAATAATCATTGGTATTCAACAAATGATATACTTTCATCTAACTGTCAACTATTACTTGATATTTATTCAAATAAACCTCGAACATATCAATTTAATCGATCACCATTAACTATGTTTCAAGGTTGGACTGGATGGAATTGGCAAAAAGAAAATGCCATTGCATATTTAGCACGAGACGCTCAACAAGGTTATATTGTTATTAATAAACCAGATAATGCTGATGATATTTATATATCGGAATGGCGTGCATCAAACGTAGATGTTGAAAGAAAATTATTTAAATTAGCAGCTAATGAAATTCGACGACGACAACCACAAACTAAAATAATTCGTTTTCATACTGTACCACAATATATGAGTTTAGAAGAATTAGAACAATGGGCTGGTACTGTAACTGTTAGTAAAAATGACCATACAATGATTCGTAATATTCGATTATCAAATGAAATTTTAGAAAAGATAAAAGCTGCTTATTTAAGTGGTCATGCAACTTTTTGGCAAGGTGATTATTTTTAACAATTAAAACTGAATAGTTCAACTTTTTTTTTAATAGTTGTAAAATCAATACAAAATGTTTGCATATTTTTCTATAATTATATAACAATATAGAATTAAATCATTGGTTTCTTTAATCTAAGTTATATGATTATGTTTGTAATCTTGATAATCCTTTTGATGAACATTATCTTGGCTTTATCTATAGTTAAGAAACTAATAAGAGCTAAAGACACCAGGTTCACCGTAAATAGCACTACTACAAAAAGAAAATTGAAATATCTCTACTTCAGTTTACTCAAATATGTATTACTAGCTTGAAACATGAAAACATAAACAGTCAATTACTGAAACAAAGATGACAATATCAGCCCATTAGTAAAGTATTATGAGAGCGTAGCTAGGTGTGTTCTTTTCACCTCTTACCTACCCACATCTGCATCCAGACCTAAACGCACATCTACGCCTACACACGTACTCACGAAAAAGACAACAGATATAAAACATATGCATGATTCAAATTAATTTGTTCGTTAAAGTTCCTCCTATTTTTCAACTTTTTTGTTTTGAATATGAATTCTATGAAATGAACATATTGAAATCCTTTATCATCAACTAAATAATAATTTGTATTGAGTCAACGCTTGAATAAGCTGGCATATTTATCTTTCGACATTTTTTTCTTTTTGATCAAAGTAGGATTTATTCTATTATTAAGTCTCTACAAAGAAGTCATATTTGTTGTTCGTCTTGCCAACATTTTTTAGTTTCTATTCATTTTTGTTCAATACATCGTTAGTAAAAACGTTCGCTCCACTTATCCAACAGGTGTACAATTAGAAAGAAACAAATAATATCTTGGGAAAAAAAGGAGGAAAATCATTGGTAAGAAAAGTTTCCTTGAACAAAACAGGCCGCGTATACTAACATCTTAGACAAATCTCTAATAGCACTCGTGTTTTCTTTTATAAAGAATAAGATTTGTCACTGATAGTATTTAATCTTCTCAAAAACTAAATAATGAAAAAGGAGAAAATGAAGTTGTTGCTTACGTTGAGGTTTGAATAGTATAAAAGGAATTCATTTTCAATGAAACGTACCATTAGTATACTTATCAGTCCCAAGCTAACATCTATCAATATGGTTGTCTACAAAGAAACAATTTCAAGAAAAATAGCAATTGAATGCACATTCAGTGTCTTTTATTGTGTGTGTTTCGAAAAATGTCTTTAGACCTTTTGTGCAAAAAGAAATATGTTCTCAAGCTCTAGAACAAACCTTGACGTGTATACTTAAAGATATGTATCTTTCAATTTTGAATGCATTGCTTTGTTGATTATGCTCTTCTTTAGGAAGGTCTCTTTGAGTGCGATCATAAGTCCTGCACCAATTAGGTCCTATGACTATGGGAACGTCTTTTTCGTCAAAAGAATCTAAAGAACTTTTTTCTTCAGATTATGCTATAAGAGAGCACTGAAGTAATTTCACAATACGTTTTCAAACAGAAACGTATTTTTCAATAGATTGTTCCGTACTATTAGCTGTTTTTCAAAATTTCTCTAACTAGAAACTAATACATTGCTATGACAATCGAAAGCATATTATTTTTCATACAGATGGAGCTCATATGTTACTATGGATATAAATACTAAAAGAATTAATAAACAACAGTGATCATTCTTTTAAAAAAACCGATTCCGAGAAAAGATCTTCTAATATGTCGAAGGCTCTATATAGATGTACACAGAGCAATTTTTCAAAATTAGTCAGTTTAAATAATGAAATTCGTATCTGATAAGTAAAACTCACAATTGCAACATTTTGAGTTTTAATATCTTTGCAAAAACCAATATTTCATGTTTAAAAATTTAATTTTTGCTAACCGTTGATATATAAACTTTCTTATTCTGTAACATGGCTCTAGTTGTATCAATATAGAATGATTCATCAAGTTCGTTTTGAGTTCTTCTTGCTATCCTTGATGACAACAGAATATTATCTATGAAACCTTGCACATGCATTTTTCGTACTTGATAACAGGTAAAATTTCGGTCACATTACTAACCAAAAAAAAATCACTCCATTTGATTGAACTTAAGTAGAGATATCTCAATTTTGTTTACTGCATTACTGTTTATGGTCTATCCTATTTGTCTATTGAACGAACAACAATTGTTCTACATAATAGGACTGATGATATTCTTATGTGAAATATGAAAAAATCTTTTGAACTATTTACATAAATCTGTTAATGCAATACTATGAGCAATAAAAAATATTATTTCCAAAGAGAGATTAGCATGAGATGAATTTTAAAGGTGATCGATAGTCACTATTAATCGGACATATATTTAATACAGCTGAAGCTAATGAATATCAAGCAAAAGACTTTATGAATAAAAGCTTTTTATGAATTTGATGATGAATCAGTAAAATACAAGAACCGTTCAATGCAAGTGAGAAAATATCAGGAGAAATCGATGAATAATACAATTGAAAAAATTCAAAAATGCACTATTATTGAAAATAGTTCAATTAAGAACGAAAATAGTACGAGAAAAATGAATTCATCTCGAATATTCGTTTTTTATATTTAATCAGAATTCGATTAATTACTATAACACTTAATAAAGAATTTAGGCCTGGGTTGTGATTTTTGTAGTCCCTACAAAAATAGATATGCAAGATGATTGGAATGTCAATTGTCAACCTTGAGAAATTTTCATTTGTTCAGACTACTCTCTCTATTTAATTATGTCTTCAGCTTTCCATAAGATGACTTTCATTAATAGTTTATATTTATCTTGATTTTTAATAAAGTCATGTATCTACATATACATGATAAATATTTGAACAGTTTTTCGAAAATTGATTCCATAAGATTGCTTATACCTTTGTCTTATGATTACTCAATGTTCTAGCATATTTATGAATAAAGTTATTGAAAATGCCTTCTGCAAAAATATCTCTTCTAATTTGTTACAA